TATTTATGTAAGTGAAATGCTCTGCAAACCTTAAAGCACCATGGGAATATTAGCTATCATTGGGAATATTACTTTTTTGGATGGCCCTTGTGATTTCATTCCAGGATACTCTCAGTGAGATCACTCCCTCTACCAATCAATTCAGGGCATTTCCAAGACCAAAATGTGAGAGTCCTGTAACCTCTGGTCTTACCGAACTGTTTGGAGTCCTATGGGATCTAGTGGCTTCTTGGGGTCACACGGCCAGGACGTAGTTGAATAAGGGCCTGACCCCATGGAAAGACAGCTGTCCACTACTACAGACACCACTGTGCCACAATGGTGGAATCATTACTGCTACTATTATAATTATTTTGCCATTGTTATTGTTATTCTCTCTGGGAGAATAGTCAAATTGGGAGGCAGTAATAAGGAAAAAGTACAAGGGAAAAATCAGCTTATCAGTAGTTCTCTGAGTGCTTTGCAAATGGGAATATCTGTAATATGAACTGAAAATATTTGCTCTGAAAAGCAAATGAGTATAGACAGCACTTAGGAACCTAAATGATAAAAAGAATTGGTATGGCACAAATATGGCAAATTGATCCATTTTAAAGCAAAATTATGAATCAATTTGTCATTTCTAGGCCACATTATTTCCCGTTCACTTACTTGCTGAGGCCTCAGTCTACAACAGATCTCAACACTGCATTCAGGAAAAAACCAAAATGAAACACTGCAAATATCAGTAATTAGACCCCATGTGTCACCAAAGACTGAAGGGGAAAACAATGAGCTGTCTAACCTTACCAACAAGAAAGAAATGTCTAACAACAAGGAAGAGATCTTTACCCCCCTTACCTTACCTGAACCCACACTTTACTGCTTACTAACTGTGTGGCCATGGACCAGTCACTTCATCTTGTTAGTTATTGAGACATTTCAGTCGTGTCTGACACTTTGTGACCCCATTTGGAGTTTTCTTGGCAAAGACACTGGAGTGGTCTACCATTTCCTTCTCCAGCTCATTTTACAGATGAGGAAACTGAGGCAAACAGGGTTAAGTGACTAGTTCAGGGTCACACTGCTAGTAAGTGTCTGAGGCTGGATTTGAACTCAGGTCTTCCTGATTCCAGGCCTGGTGCTCTATGTACTGTGCCACATAGCTGCCCCATTTTTCAGATGCCTCATCTATGAAACATGCTATAATAATAATACACTCCTTGACCTCACAGAGTCAAAGCTTTATAGACTTTAAAGGACTATCTAAATTCAAGTTATAATCATTTACTCTGAGTGTCTCATCTTTTTAGGATCTAATAGGAACAGTAATGGTTTGCATTCATATAGTGCCTAAAGGTTGACAAAGAATTTTATACGCATTAGATCATTTGTGGATTAAAAAAAAAAGGTACTTCATAGGGGGGCCTTGGCTATCGATGAGGAAGAAAGGGGGGAAAATTTCCTGGGCAAGAAAACGTATATTGGTTCTTGGAAATGAACATAATTCTTGGAAGAGCCAACCAAACCTGCAAAATGTCTCTTCTCTAGGTTTTCAAGAGAACAGAAAATAGAAGTGTAATGGGGTTCAGCAGCTCTCAAGCTTTCCACATATTTCCTACACCACTAGAACCTCCATTGAACCTTGACCCTGAACCCTTCCCACCCTTATACCCCACTGGGCACTCCACTGAATGCCTACCTTCCAGAGGACTGAGAGAGTGAAGAAAAAAAAAAGAATCCAGTAAAAAATCAAAAAACTTGCTACTGTTATTATCTTTTAAGTAATTCAGAGAACTGGGGCGGGAGGTGGACAAAGGTGGGAGAGAAATCATGATTAGCTAATAAGGATAGTTTTGGATTATTTGGAGATTTCTATTTCCCATCCTTCTCTAATCCTAGACTGAACTTAGAAGAGTGAGACAGAATTAGAATTAATAAAAATAAATAAATAAACTTCTAGTCCAGGTGACTGATTCAGGTGAAAGAAAACCATGAAAATCCCTGAAAATGACCTGGCTTTGTTTCTGCCATTCATTTAAAAAAAATCAAGGATTTCACTCAAATCACCTCATTGTGGCTCATATTAAATGTACTTATGACACTACCACTGGCCTGAGTGAGTACCCAAACCACAAATTCAATACTTACAGCTGAATCCAGCAGGTAAAATGCTTTATTAAGGAAAAGCTACAGGAAGTATCTGGGTGGGAAAAGCCAGATCAAAGAGGCAGGCTTTTCTGATCTCATCAAAACCTTTAAATTATTGAAATATGCTGAAAAAAGCCCATGCAAAGTGAATGCTGCCACCATGCTCTCGAATCAACTGTAGTTTCTGAGCCATAAGGGATGGTCACTGGGAGGAAGTCAGATTCACATACCTGAGGCAATGACCAGTGTGGCACATTGATTCATATTCTGGACATGGGGGAAGGAAAATCTTGCTTTGGGACCATGACTAAGTGTCTTAAACTTGTTGGGAATCATTTGCTTCGTCTGTAAAATGACAGGGGTTTGTGCTAGACAACCTCAAGCTCCTTCCAGCTCAAGAGCTACAATCCTTATAAATAGTTCTGACATGATCCTAGGACATTCAATCATGTGCTCTCTGTAGCTGTGATTGGTCTCAAGTTGTTCTTTCACCGGCCTTCAGACACCCTGACAGCTAGTATCTCAATGTCCATGAACCACCCCATCCATAACAAAACAAAACAAAACAAAAACCCCAACCCCAAATCTCAAATCCAAATTCTTTCCTTTTTTCAAAATAGTTTATCATTAAACACACAAAGTAAAAAATCAGGGGATGAGGGTGTGACATTGAAATAGATGTCTTCCCAAAAAGTGCTCCCCCTCATCACAGATGACAAGGGCAGTTTTATGTGCCGTACGGAGCACCTGCTAATTTCCCTTGCAGGGAGTATTGTGAGACAGCTGCCAGGGGAGATGAGGGGAAAGTGACATGGTGACTATAGCCAGCTCAGAACTGACACAGACTCTGACCAAGCAAGGACCTGTTCTTGGAGATCTCTCCCTTCTCCACCCCAACAAGAGCACACTTCCAGGCTGTGGTGACTAACAGCCAGTCAAGTGAGAAAAAGCAATGAAGGAGACTTTTTCCAGGAGCAGGACCAAACCTATGGGCTTGTTAATGACATTGCTTTCACAAAAGGAAATTGGCACAGGAAATTAACCAGCCTTAGTGAGCCCAGAGCAGAGCCCCAGTTCCCCATCAGTTGGACCTCCTCTGTGTAGAGAGTCAGTAAGCATCACCAAAGGACTTTCCGTGCAGCTGAAACATGCAAATGAACTTCCATGAATCACTTAAACCAGGCAGAGGCTGAGCCAGCTGTAAAATTATTAAGAGGAGTCCATTCTCCCCAGTATCTCTGAATCCCTCCCAATTTGAATCTGCTCATCACCGATGCTGCAACGTAAATATAGGATGCCAGGAATCATGATAGGCTATTTGGCCAGAGAATAGCTAGGTGGGGGCTCGGACAGCCTGGGCTCTTCCCATGCGTTTTCTCAGACCCGTTTCTATTTTACTGGAGGCCAAATTAGTTTCTGCCTGTGACAGGGATAACACACACAGTCATGCACACATGTACACCCACGCACACATGCACACCCATACACACATGAGCACACACACACACACGCGTCTGGACATCTCTGTGATTTTAGCGTGAGCTCAGAGTAACACTTCTGGGACTCAACATTAATGTAAGCTGACAGTGGTAGCGGCCTGAAGTCACGTGCCTTTAATCAGCACTGCTCCTAGCCACTGGAATTGCATTAATTATTACAGGGATTTTTCTTTTTCTTTTCATTAGGAGGAAACAAGAACTAACAGAGAAGCTTAAGAAAGCAGGAGGCTCTCCCTAATTTTACTAAGGAATCTCCCCTCCTTCTAGCTCCCCTAGCCACTGTCCCCTTCTCACGAGCTCTTTCAGACAGGTGGAACAAAACAAGCTACAAATGTCTGAGCTGGCAACAGACCTTTTGCAAAGTTTTAGAGGAGGGTCTTAGAGGCTAGGACAGTTCTCAATGTGCCCAGCTAAGCTTTCTAGGTTTTATGTTCACCTCACCCTTATTTTAATGAAATAGGAAGCCTTGTTGTGCCTAATCAATTTCCATAAGCAACAGAGTTTCCAATTTTGAGTTTTAAAGTAGCCTCTAAATCTGTTTCCCAGTAGCAAGGCTTTCACCACCATCCTAACCTCTAAGCTATTAGCTAACCTATCAACTAGGTAATGCTCCTAAAGGTAATCCAGATTAGAAGGGACAGCAAAATATTGATTGCGTGTGTGTGTGTGTGTGTGTGTGTGTGAGAGAGAGAGAGAGAGAGAGAGAGAGAGAGAGAGAGAGAGAGAGAGAGAGAGAGAGTTTAAACAATTGTACACCTGCAATATAGTAGTGCTAAAATCTCTCAGAAACAACAAAGGCTGCCCTCCCCAAAGCAAGGAAATGTCTTACACTCATCACTCAGCCCATGCTTTACATGGACACATAAATCCAGGTACCAGCAGTGGGGTTCTTTCTTAAACATGAATGCTTTATATTTTGTAAATAATTCATCACCTGGTGCACAGAAAAAGCGAGAGGAGGGAGTATAGGAATATTAGAGGGTAGGAAGACCCGGTAGGGTGGAATGCTATTGAGAACGAAGGTGGAGCCTTTTTCAAAGGAAACAATGACATTTATTTCAAGTTAAAACAGCCAAGAAAGTCACCCACTGAAATAGTTGTAGATTTTTTTCTTTACGTGTCTTTTAAAAAATGTTCAAACATGTTTTAACCGGGCTGCTGGAGGCTGTCCCCAAATCAGTCTGCAGTTTTAGACAATCCTTGCTGCATCAAACAGACACTCAGAACTTAATGATTCCAGCATTAGTCCTCTGATCCCCCACCACCACAAAGCACCGTTCATAAAATTAAGCCCCCAAACCAAGCCATCCATAACCTTCTTCCCCCCAACCACCACCCAGAAAAACCCCAGAGTAGATGAGAAGTCCTTACCGACTTTGGGCTCCTCTTTGGGACTGGCAGTCCTGAAAAAATGGCAACAAGGGAAAAAAATAATCATTAGCATGTAAATGTTACCTTTTCCTTAAAGAAAAATCCCCAGGTGTGTTAATGTAACATAGCCATCTGCAGAGTTATGTCAGATTCCTCTCTGGCATTGGAGTTACCAGTCTGTTCATATCGAATCAAAGCGGAGAGAGAGAGAGAGAGAGAGAGAGAGAGAGAGAGAGAGAGAGAGAGAGAGAGAGAGAGAGAGAGAGAGAGAGAGAGAGAGAGAGAGGAGAGAGAGGCAGGGAGATCTGTCTGCATTAGCTATGCTGACTTGTGCTGCAGCAGCCTGGAGGCTGGGGAAAGAAATTCACAGACCTCAGCGGCCTGGGAAATTGAACACTTGGACAGAATCTCAAATGCTCTCCTGGATTAAGAGAGACTTAACTTACAATTAAGCCCGGATATTTCCTTTTGACGCGATCTGCTTGTCAATTGTATCACACCAATCAGAACAGCAGCAGGAAAACATGTTTGTTTTTTAAAAAGCAGCACACGCTAAAAATGGACCCTCTTAAAATGCATTTATCTTCGGGGATCGCACATGTACGTCTGCCTCGGATGAGCAGCATAGCCCGAGCACCCAAACTAAGACAGAGAATGTTTCACTAGCACAAAAAGATAATTTATGAACACAAACCCAAGTTTGCTCAGAGTCAATGCTGGGGATCCAAGCCTTCTCTACATAGCAGCATATGCCTTCCTGCCTGTCAGTCACCCAACCCATTTCAGGGTAGGAAAAACTCTGGCTGGAAGTAGCTCTTGAGGGAGAAACAGGCAGTTTGGGAGTGAGAGAGGGAATCTTCATGGACACTATCCTGACAAGAAGGAAATCATTAAAATGGAGGAATGTAAAGAAAGATAAGAAAGGACATGGAGCTGGTCCCAGATAATTTGTCTAGCCTCATCAGACTGACGTGGTGGACATATTTAATCTAAATGGGACGATGCCTCTTATGTGAAGGAGTAACATAAGTCAGTCAGCACACCTTTATTTAAGCACCTATTATTAAGCCATGATGCTTAATGGCAATGAGGTGAAAGCTTAAAAGAGCTGACTTATTACTTGGTTAGAGAAATCCATGGAAGAAAGAAACAATGAATTAATGAAAGAAAAGACATTTAATAAGCGCTTACTATGTGCCAGGCACTGTGCTAAACACAGGGGAGACAAATACAAAAAGTGAGAGAGGTCTTGCCCTCAAAAACGGGACATTACATTAACATAGAGGGGAATGGCGCTCTTCTTTTAGGCAATTGGGGTTAAGTGACTTGTCCAGGGTCACACACCTAGTAAGTGTCCAGTGTTTGGTCTGAGGCCAGATTTGAATGGTGCTCTTTTGATCATCACAGGTATAGCAATTGGGTTGAGGAAGGAGATAAAAAATGCAGCTAAGTCATACAGTAGACAGAGTGCTAGAAGATCTGGATGTGAGTCCTGCCTCACTAGCTGTGTGACCACAAGTAAGTCATTTAACTTCTGCCTCAGTTTCCTCAACTGTAAAATGGGGTCAATTATATCACCAAACTCTCAGTATTATTGCTAGGATCAAATGGGCTAACATTGGTAAAGTGCTTAGCATGGTGCTGCTTTACTTCCTTCATTTGTAGCACTTGGAAAGCAATGATTTGCACATGGGGGTCTTTCTGAGCTGGTATATGACAGTTCAAAGCAGATGATATCTACGGAACACACAGGACACATTTTCAAAAATCTGAATAATTTGCTTTGGAAACTTCAACTTTTTTTTTTTTTTTAGAAAATGATTCATGGGCCCCCTTATGCAGCATGATGAATCCAACTCTTCTGCAAGTGACTTGCTAAACTGTGAACTAGACTAACTTTAACATAAGTGACACACATAGAAACTGAAATGGGAACATGAGGAGAAAGGCATTTAGATGACCATTTCCAATGACATCTGCTCCAAAGTCAGCGTGCCAGTAATGACACCTCCTGGGACCCCTCCCTTCTGAAAGGCTATGCAGGCATGGCTCAAGCGTTTCTGGATCACCTGAAAGTTGGCTATGTAAATTGGGGGAGGCAGCCTGCTATAGGAGCAAGGGTACTGACCCTGGAATCAAATCCCTCCTTCAGTGTTTACTACTTGTGAGGCCTTGGGCAAGTAATATAAGTTTCCTCATTATTAAAAGGAGACAGTTGGAGTACATACCTTCAGTTCCTCCCAACATTTCCTCCTAGGACCTAATTCCCAGTCCCCTCGCCATGCTGGTTGGTTCCCTCTAGATCACATTTGAGAGTTGGAAGGGAACTCAGTACTTACTGATTATGGATACAGACCTCAGTGACTCTCACATATGAAACACATCACTGGCTCTCCCTTGAAGGTGTTGAGATACTATAAATGTTAGTTTGGGCCCAGACTTATGATTGTACATTGTACACAGAACTTTTTGCATGCGAATTCCCTCCACCAATGCAGATGGGCAACTCAGAGAATTACAAGATCATATATTTAGAGCTGGAAGGAAACTTAGAGGCCATGGAGTCCACTCCCCTAATTCATTTTTGTTGTCGAGTTATTTTCAGTCACGTCCAACTCTCCATGACCCCATTTGGGATTTTCCTGGCAAAGATACTGGTGTGGCTTGCCATTTCTTTCTCGGGCTCGTGAGACCAGATTTGAACTCACAAAGATGAGTCTTCCTGCTTCCAGGCTGGGCACTCTATCCACTTCACCACCTAGCTGACCTTCCCAGTGGAGGAAATGAGGCAGAGAGGCTAAGTGACTTGCCCAGGGTCACATGGCTGGTAAGTATTTGAGATGAGATTTGCACTCAGAACTGCATAAACATTAGAAATGCTAAAAAGTGAATGGGACTACTTTGGGAAGTGGTGGGTTCTCCTTCCTTGGAGGTCTTCCAGCAGAGCCTTGAACAACAATTTACAGGTTGTGTGACAGTGGGGATTTCTCTGAGGAACGGGCTGGACTTGTTGACTGTTACTCTGAAATTCTGTGATGATGTTCTTAATTACCTGGGTCACTAAAATATTGAGTGACCCTCAAGGTTTCCCAGCTACTATTGGCCATAAGCATGCCTTCAACCCAAGTCCTATGGACACTAAGGCCTACCCTCTACTATGCCATTCTATCCCCCTTGTTGTTTTCACAGTAGCCGTGTTATTACTTTTATTCAAATACGCAAACCTCTCTTTTAGGAGTAAGGCCATTCTGTATGACTCATGATACCGATTACAATCCAGGTCAAAGGGAATAAATAGCAGCTGTTTGAAGGGCTGAGGTGGTTCATTCAGAGGGAAACACAGAAGAGACAGATTCTATATTTCCATTGGCTTTTTAGAACCTAAAGGGAAATGTCACTTCAAAGATGTCTCAAAGTACTTCAAAAGAGAGGCGTGTGTTCAAAGAACAGTCAATTATTTAGCCTCAAAAGGATAGAGATTTCATCAGTTGTTCAACTGAGGACACTCACTATTCTTTTCACATCTTAGTAGACTTTTCCCCTGAGTCGGTGTGGCTAAAAAAAATACTTCAGCTGGGTGGGAGGAAGCACCACTTTCTGGCAATTAGCCAGAGTTGGAAGGTTGATACTGGCCTGATGACAGGCCCCTACTACAGAACTTTCTTATCTGGTAGTGCTTGATAGAGTTTGCTTCCCAATAGCATGGGACCTCAAGATGACCTGAGAAGAGTAGACAGAGTAGTTTGGTCAAAAGGCTCTACTCTCGAGTTTGGGACACAGATTCAAATTCCGGCTTTGCCAGTGACTACCTGATGGGACCCCGTGCAGACAGATCAGGCTTCAGATTCCTACCTGAATCTAAGAAAGAATGGGACTAGCTGGTCTGTAAGGTTCTTTCTGCCTCTAAGTCTGTCAATCAACAATCCTTCATTAAGTGATTGCTATGTCAAGCACTGGGTATAGAAAGACAAAAATGAAGTTGGGATCACCCTCAAGAAGATCATATCATCATCACTGTCACTGACATCGTCATCATCGTTATGATCCACATCATCATCAGCATCGTCATCATGATCACCACCATCACCATCGTCCTTATCATCATCATCACCGACGTAACAGTAATGAAAAATAGCTAGCATTTCCAAAGCATTTCAGGGTTTGCAAAACCTTTATAAATATTATTTCACTCGATGCTCATAACAACCCTGGGAGGAACATGCTATTATGATCCCCATTTTACCAATGAGGAAATTGAAGTAGATAAAGGTTAAGTGACTTGTCCAGGGTGATGCAGCTACCAAGTGCCTGAGGTTAGATTTGAACTCAGGACTTCAAGTCTAATGCTCCCATCCACTGTGCCACCCAGCTGCTTCTATCAGCTATGACCTCTATGCCACAATGAGACAAAAGAATAAGGTTTTAGAGGAAAGGGTGTGACAAAGACTGAATCCCAAACTCCTGAAATGTTTCCCTTGAAGGACACCAAAAATTGTATGCTGATAATTAAAACTTAATTAGTAAAATTACAAGGCAAATCTGGTAATGGTATAAACTATTTTTTAATGTTAAAGAGAAAGATAAATGACTGGGAAGGCATAATAACCTTCTAGATGCTGTCCTTCTCTTCCCCCTCCACCAGATATGGACGGTCCTCAAATTGGATTTCCAAGATTCCGGGCAGATTTTGGGGTCTTCTGATTGCTCTCATTGCCCTCTGTGGCACAGAGCCACAGTGTGATCTTTCTGTGTGGTGAAGGGATGGCAGGTTTAGAGACGAAAAGGACTCCAGAAGTCCAACCTACTCATTTTATGGAGGAGGAAACTGAGGCCAGAGAGGTTAATTCACTTGCCTGGAAAAGTGATGGAGGCCAAGCAGAAGAACAAAGGCCTCCGATGGCACTTGCTCTGTCATACCGGGAGGATCCTGAACTTCTCTTGGCCTTGTACTCCTCAGTTTTACAAGGACAGAGCAATCATGCCCACCTACCACACAGCACTAACTGCCAGGGCTTAAGGATAATGCTACAAA